GGCTGTATTAGATCAAAAGGGTGCTTCTACTAAATACTGAGCAAAGGGTCTGAATACTTAGGACCATGTGATATTTCAGTTTTTCTTTTTTAATAAATCTGCAAAAATGTCCACGATTCTGTGTTTTTCTGTCAATATGGGGTGCTGTGTGTACATTAATGAGGAAAAAAAATTAACTTAAATGATTTTAGCAAATGGCTGCAATATAACAAAGAGTGAAAAATTTAAGGGGGTCTGAATACTTTCCGTACCCACTGTATACAAAGAAATGGCTCTCATCTGCCCTAGAGTTAAAACACAGATAGAATAATGGTGTATGGGTAGGCCTAAACAATCGAAACCTCAAAGGGATTAAGATAAACTAATTACTCAGTTCCTGATGGATCCGCTTGGCCTAGATATCGTAGCACAGTCCCATCCTGTGTTTGGGCACTGCCAGTTGTGTTAAACATTTCCCCCCATTTCAGGCCAAGCTGCAGCAGGCAAGCTTTGTCTAATGTGCTCCATATGGCAGGCAGCAAAACTAGTGTAACTATGACAGAAGAATCAACACAGCTTTGTTCCTTCTTGGGAAATCTCAGCCATTCACATTGCCTTTGGCAACACACACATGCAAAGGTCAAGAAGGACAGAGCCAGCTTGTTGAGAGAGTAAAATACTGATAAAGCGCCCAGTGGCAGTTGTTGCCAAGAAGCTTTCCAATGAACTCCATTAACTTCCCTTAAGCATAAAAATCGCAGAGTACAAAGATTACACCAATTTGTGCCATCCAAGAAAATTGGCCATCAGTCCATTTTATGCAAAAGTTATTCATTCCACAACTTAAAATAACCGAGTATGAAAAAGGCTTTCATGATATTTGAATATTATAAAAACAAAGCTGATAAATGAGAGTTGTGTTCTAGCAGTTAGTAGTTGCTAGTGTTAGTACAAATCTAATCCCCCTTGAAGAATTAGGGGTACTCACTTCTGTGAGATACTGTATATATACACATACACACACATGTATCCACTATCCACTAGGGGGCAATCTGATTAGTCCCGCAGCTAATCAGGCGACCAATAGAGCTCAACGTGGCTCTGTGAAGCAGCATTTTCTATATATTTACATCAAAAGCAAGTATCGCTCGAGTGAAAATTACACAAACTTGGGGGGCACGTGTCCTAAAAGTTTGAAAACCCCTGATTTAGCTAGTTGCAACTAAACTCTGCAGGATGTTGGCCCTCAAGGAGAATGACTGGACACCGCAGCTCTACACCATTTCCTGTTATCTCTGTACTTCGAATAAAAAAGGCAAAAAGAAAAACAATAGTGACAAGTGAAAAAAAAAAAAGCATTGTTTTTTACTCACTCGAGGAAGCGGGTGATGTATTCACGGCTGCAGCGTGACCAGTTGGGTGGAGAGGTTCCATACAGGAGCTGTGGAGACATGATGAAAGGTCTTTTCCCAATAGGCTCACAGTCATTGCCGTTCCCATCGTGCTGAATCCCAAAGCTGTGGCATAAAAGCAAATCGTACAGAGAGAGAGGGTGAGAAGACACTGCTGGACTGGCTTTCAGCCATATTTCACATTGGCTCAAATGCTGGTAATTCAATCTTAGCATTTACAATAATAGGTAGCAAGACATTGAACCATAGTAAATGCATTCACTGTCCTTTCTACTTAACCTGTCTGTGCAAAGTTGTATGAACTCTTTCAACTGTTACAAAGCCAGTAAACCCTAGCTTTTGCACAAAATCCACAGGAATACATCGAGAGGGACATAACAACCCTAAAAATTAACCATGGTTTTATTATAGTAAAAAATGTAGTAACTATGTTTTTTGCCATATTGATTATCATTTGTATAACCACAGTTTCAAATACCATGGTTAAAATATGGTTAGTGTAGCAAAACCTTGGTTAATTTGTGGTTACCATTGAGGGTTCCAAGTCGTCTTTTATTTCCTGAAGCAAATTAAAAATAACATGACTTGGCAAATGATATGTTCGGATAATGTGTTCTTTCCAAATAAATTAAAGGGGTCATATGATGTTGCTAAAAAGAACATTATTTTGTGTAATAAAGAATATCTCTTTGGATTTGAGACTTTAGCCTTTGCAACTGTACAGATCTTCTTTATGCACCAAGAGCTTGTATCACTTCAAAGAGAAAGGAAAAATTGAAATCGCATCATATGACCCCTTTAATAAGTGTGGAAAAATCCTCTCCCTTCTACCACGCGCTCTCTGTTCTCTGCAGTGCCTCCTCCTAGCAACAATAATTGCAGCCATTTCAAGCGCAAAATAGTTTAAGATATGCTTTATTTGGGCGTTAAATAATGGCGCAAATACCAGTAATTAGACGAGCGCAAACGTTAGTAAATCTCGATTCATTTGAATACTCTCCTCCCATAAGTTTTGCATCTGAAAGGGAAACTCCTAGAAATTTATATTCAATAAGGTCAGGCGCAAAAATAACTGTGTCCACGCCTTTTCAGCGCCAATTCCTCACTGCGTGTCTTAAATCCTGACAGTACTATTTTAACGCCAAAAGACGGTTTGCGCTGGCGCAAGCTGTTAGCAAAACTGGCCTTACTGTTAACTTTACATGGAGCAAATTCCACACACAGAAAACACTGGTAACACATACAGTTTATTCATACAGAAATGCGCACATTTTTGTATAAATGAACTGAATTTTGAACCAAAATATGAACTTCACATTTCTGGTTTAAACCAGAGCTTGCTCCATAGACATGCATTATAAGCATTACTATCCACATATTTTTACAAATCGAGGGGCTGGGCAAGTCAAACTAATTTTCTGTTGAAATGTTGTTGATAGAGCTTGTTTTGAATATTTCTTCAAAAATAAGAAATATTTCTTAAAATGTACATTGCGGAAATTCAGATTTTCTAATATATTACAAAGAATACTGTCTCAGCTATAGCAGTCTAGAAACACAGCTCACTAGAGACCCTTACTGAGTTGTCAAGCTGCCTTTTCTGAGTCCCGCTGTATGACTGTTTATCATGACCACAAACATTTATAAAAGGCATGTGCGGCAGACCAAATGGCACAAGATCAAACAAACTCTAATGCCGAAGTTCACACTGCACGATTTTCAAACTCGTCGGATCGCCGTTGTTTTCACACTGAAGGACTATCTGGGGTAGCATTCAGTTGCTGCTGTGTTCACATTGCACGATGGATCGGCGACAGGGGGTTTCACACTGCATGACTTCACAATAGAAAGAATCGCCGACAGCTCTGTCTGGTCCGCAAACTACGTTTCACAACAAAACCAGTGTTGCCAACTAATTTTCAGGGGAAGTTGCTAAAGGAAGGTCGATTTGTTGCTAAAAGTTCCTAAATGACGTTGTGATGTCATTGCGCAATGACGTCATTACGTAATCACGACGCAAAATTGTCACTACATCAAATCTCAGCAAAAAAATATTTTATATGTTAATGTAGATTTGCTTGTAAAATAATATAAATGCATAATATAATTGTTAAAATATAAATAACTTTTTATATACAACATTGAACACTTTTGCGGATCGCCGTTGTTTTCACACTGTGTGACTATCTGGGGTCGCATTCAGTTACTGCTGTGTTCACATTGCACGATGGATTGGCTACAGGGGGTTTCACACTGCATGACTTCACAATAGGAAGAATCGCCGACAGCTCTGTCTGGTCCGCAAACTACGTTTCACAACAAAACACAATCGGGCTAATATCGTGCAGTGTGAACTCGGCATAAGACTCTAATATGGCTTCTAACAAACAGACTGTTATTTAAGAGTACGCTCCTGTGAAGAAAAAAAATCCCCATTTCTGCACCACTAGGCATCCACTAGGCTTCACAAGTCACATTCAGACCACCTTCATTTACATAATGGTCTGGAACAAACACTGACTTCTTAAAAACTTTACACAATGAATCACACAGATCTGAATGAAATATAGCTTCAGCGATGCTGGCAAAAAACGTTATAGTCATAATTGGTACCAGAAAGAGTCCCCTTCTCCACAACTCTCATGTCAAAAAAGCAGCCGGTTCAGCTTTCTACTGAAGAATAACGAGAGAGAATATTCAGTGTGTGATGGCCTTATACTGCCTCCAGTAGTGTGTTACTGGACTCTTAACTCCACAGAACTAATGCATGTTTCATCAAAGACACCTTGGCTTTGAGAGCAACACAAAATGAGCAATTTGCATATGCAACACTGTGTCTAGTTTTAGCTGAGGAAGGAATCTGTATTTCTTTCCAAACTTGAAAAAACAGAGGTGTCAGTTTTGTTGTGTATTATTTCTAAACCAGTGATTAAGACGCACACAATGCTTTTTAAGCATTACATTATTACCATCCAAAAGGATTTAAAAAAGATAAATGAATATCTTTATTCAGAAAGATGAATTCAATTGATCAAAAGTAACAGGAAAGACTTTGACATTGTTACAAAAATGTTCAATTTCAAATAAATGTTTTTATTTATTTATTTATACTCATCAAAAATGCTGAAAAAAATGTAGCAAGGTGTAGCAGAACACTGCAGAACAGATGTGACACTGAGGACTGGAGTAATGACTGCTGAAAATTCAGCTTTGCCATCACAGGAATAAATTACATTTTAAGATATTTGGAATATATATTTAAAAACAACAAAACATTTTACTAACCCCAAACATTTGAACAGTAGTGCATATAATCAGCAATATATCAGCATCTCTCCCTCTACATATCATTATCCGCATTAGCTATTTAAAAAGAAAAAAGAAAAGAAAATATATATATTAACTGAATACCAAAGAATACCATTTATATCGGAGCTGAGATGCCTTACATACTGTGGTGAAATGGCTGTACCACTCAAGAGTAATTCACAACAATGTTCAGTACAACTACAAAAAGACGGAACCCAGACATTACAGAAAGCAAGTCAACACATACTGTATGTCACAGAGCCTTTCTTCTTGACCAAATTTGAGGAAGGAAAGAGGAGTCTAGAAATGTGTACACAACAGCCAAATGTTTGGACACTTGAGTCCATTTTTGCTTCCTGTGGTCTTAAAAACCTTTTGATCTAAAGGTGTATAAAGGTATATACACATAGAAATTCCATTAATAATCTTTAAAAATCTACACATGGAAATTCAATCAATAATCTTTCAAAAGTATACCTAACTTGTAAATATAATTGTAAACAGTATATGTAATTTGTGTTATAGAACTTACTTGTGGCCGAGCTCATGTGCGATTGTAAATGCCAGGGTCAGGCCTGTGTCTTCATTGATGCTGCAGCTGCGGTGAGGTTGGCACATTCCAGCCACATGAGACAGTCCCAATGTCTCACAAGGCTTATTGATGGCGGCACAAATGTCTCTTCTGTGTCATAGAAAATGGTTAACACGTGTATTATATATATGTAAAGCAATGCAATTTTGGTTACAATTAGGCCATATGTACCTAGTAATGAGGACAGCCACATCATGATGGACTGGATGATCATCGTCCTTCATATTGATGCCTTTCTGCCACTTACAGAAGCTGTTCAGGCTGTTGTCTGCATGATGCGTAATTTTCAAATCCTCCTGATAACATATAAAAGAATTAAATACATAAAATGGGAAAATTGTATGTAAAGTTTGTATATGAAGTATGACAATTATTGAGTTTAAAGAAGTATTACTACTTTATTATTAATTTGAAAGGCAAATAAAAATGTATTTATTTCAGCTTTTATTGAAGGTATTGTGTTGAGGAATGAGAATTTATGAAAGTAATGATTCAACTCTAAAATGCATTAACTTGTAGATGGTGGCAAACACTATGCATATAAATACAATGCGGTGGTTACACACTGTAAACCACAATGCCAAAAAAAATAAATAAATCAAAGACTTTCCATATGTGACCCTGAACCACAAAACCAGTCATAAGTGTCAATTTTTAGAAACTGAGATTTATACATCATCTGAAAGCTGGATAAATAAGCTTGATGTATTGTTTGTTAGGATAGGGCAATATTTGACCGAGATACAACTATTTGAAAATCTGCAATCTGAGGGTGCAAAAAATCAAAATATTGAGAAAATCACATTTAAAGTTGTCCAAATTAAGTTCTTAGCAATGCATATTAAAATAAAAATTAAGTTTTGATATATTTATGGTAGGAAATTTACAAAATATCTTCATGGAACATGATCTTCGAAAAATCGATAATTTTGACCTGTACAATGTATTGTTGGCTATTGCTACAAATATACCCGTGCAACTTAAGACTGGTTTTGTGGCCCAGGGTCACATATTTGGTGATTTGTGGATTTTACAGCCTCAGCTAGCCCAGTTTATAAATTGATAATCGTGTGCTTATTTTAAGGAGGCATATTTGAGCACGTCATTTCAAACCAATCTTCGGTACTTTTCCCAAAAGCACTGGTAGCAAACTATTGTTTTAAGTTCTGTTATTACAATATAGTTCAATGATTCAGTGTTTACTGAAACCATAGTTTTTCTGAGACCTGATCTCCATATGTATGATAAACACATTCACATATAAATATCGATCAACGCACATACATACAGCACATCAAACATGGCAACCAGAAGCTCAACTGTGCTTGCATGAAACCTTATTGGTTCTCGCACAGCTGAGCTTTTGTTTACCATATTTGATGTGTTCTGTGCATAATTGTTGATATGGGAATAAAAGCCAAATCTTATGGGTTTATAGAGCGTAAGTAATTGTAATTGATGTCATTGATGACAGAATTTTCATTTTTGGGTGAACTAATCTGCAGGTGTTCCCAACTCTGGCCCTCAAGGTCCACTTTCCAGTGGAGTTTAGCTGAACAAGCTAATCTAGGTCTTCAGGATTACTAGAAAGCTATAGGCAGGTGAAAGTGGACCTTCAGGGCCAGAGTTGAGAAGTCCTGCTTTAATGCATAAATCACTGGGATAAAGCACCTTAAAAATGACCCCTGGCCCCAGACTTTCAGATTTAAACATATACCCACGTTATTTTGCAAGTTTGTTATTAATTCATGGCAAAATGAGCGAATATACGGAATAAATTCCGTCTCTGTACTTGAAAGGGTTAAGGGGGTTTAAGCTAATAACCCAAACTACAACCTTTGAAAAAATTCTTGTAACAAGATTAACACTGAACAGCTAAAATACTGTTGTCACTCTTCTTCTGAGTGCTTAATCCTACTTTGCACACACAGAATTTGGTTATTTCCAGGAGTGACAACCATATTTACACAAAGTCTGAAACAAACAAACAAACTGAACAACTAGTTTTAATGACGTAGTTAAAAGCACATCACACTTGTGTGTCTCTGTTCTCCAGATGTGGAGGAAGCCAATCACAATGATGTCTTGACAGTTTTTCCAAGTCTGTATTATTTCACTGAGTTGCTCTCTGTGTTACTCAAACCAGTGGTTCAGTGGTTCAGTGTTCTCACCAGTGTTGTCCAGTGGTTAATATTAAAATTACTTTGGGAATACGAAACTAACACCCAATGACATAAACTGTTCTTACTCATGTTTCTTGTTTGCAGCCATGAATCCAAACAATTGCTATGGTTATCATTATGCCAATAAACAAATTTCAGTAGCATTTCTGCAACCTAAGGCATGTATGTAAAAGGTTAAATAAATGTGTATGTTTATTTATTGTTTATCACCAAACCCTAACTCACCAAGCATCAAATGCAAGTCAAAATTTTCAGTAAACAAATCATTACATTTGAGTTGATTTTTAAGCCACAATGTAAGAATGATAATGTGATGTGTGATTCAAATCAAATTTCGCTTTATAAAGACTACTGTACATCTCATGTGATTTTTTTTTCTAACAGCTGCAACTCCTCCAATTTACCACCAATATACCAAGTTTAAAATATGCTTTTTTGACTATTTTATTTTTCTTTTTCTCTTCAGAAACCCATGTGGTGACACATGGGGAATATTCCTCAGATTAAGCAACCAAAGCAAAAAGTGACGAACAGTGATTACCAACGTAAACCAAAAACAGTTGCAGACCCCTGAATTAGGTGATTCATTCCCACATTTAAATGCAGTCATCACCACCAAAACCTTGCCGTGTGTACATGGTCATAGTGCACCTAGTCTGTTCCCTTTCATGGGAACTTCGAACTGCGTCCTCTAGGGGTCGCTATGGGGATTTTGCAGCAATGATATTGACTCAGACTGTCTGCCATGTATTTTTAGAGCAAGGGTTTGCATCACTGCTTTGTCATTTCACTTACCTCGTCCTTTTCCAGCAGAATGAGATGCACGACAGCGATGTTGATGGCATTTCCAATGCTGGCATCCCGAAATAACCCTGCCACCTACAAAACACAACATTCTCACATATGAAATTGTAAATAATTGAATGTCATGTCGATTTGAAGCTAATCTAACATCACAACCTTTCTACTGCAGTGGTTTATAAATTTTGGGTCAAAATCTATGGGCAGTAATGACAGTTTGTTTTGATTCCTCTGGAATGGAGAGCATTTGGATGAAAGCTAGAGAAATGGATAGAGTATCTGTGTCAGCTGTGTGTGGAGCCTTATGATCTGGCCACTGACTAGAGGGAACGATAATACTTAATGTTGTAACGTTTTTAATGATTGGTACGGGAAGGATTTAGAGTAAAGTAACCTCAGATAGTTTACTGCAGCCGCTGTTTTCAGCAAGCCTGAGGAGAGATCACATAATGATAGATTTTTAGGAGCGATGACAGCCAAGTTAATCACAGATCTTTACAGCGGCTTAGATGAAAGACAGTGGAGCTGAAGCTCCCTCCTAAATAGGGTCTAGGAATTCCTATGCAGAGAAGTAACCAAAATAAGTCACAGAAAGAACTCAAGAACACTTGATATGACTGACATACTGATATTGAATTAAGGAGTTTAGCACAAACAGATTTTCTGTTGGTGAGATGCTTAGAAGTTCTGCTCTCATATAAAAGCTCTCCTTGAGGTAAATGTGGTCTGAAATGTGATGAGGCATTTTCTATGCTTCTGTTGTGCTCATTACAAAATGTTCCAGTGAATTAATGAGGCACCTTTGAAGCCATTCTGTCTTTTTGAGGTGAAGCAACTTCTGCTGACATTAATCTGATCTTTGATGAGTCTATGGCACACTCAAAGTCTGGTTAACTTTATTATAATACCTTGATTTTTCAGGTTGCAGGTACTAATGTTCCAGTTCTCTGCAGTGATCAAGCTTACATGGAATATGTTGGCAAATATATTTAGCAAGGTGAGAGCTGTAAAGCAAATGAATAAACAAAACTTGTGATCATTAGTCATTGCAATTAATTAATGAATTTCTGGGCATAACTCATCCTTGCTTAAGCTACAGACATGAATGAAATCTAATATCATGTTGCTTTTCAAGCAGAGGTGTGCTTTTACTTTTTAAGCAATCTGGCTAACAATTTTTGCCTGACAGATAAAACACATGAAAGTCTTTAAGATTTACATGTATTAAGAGACACAAGCCATATCTAGAGACCAGAATATTATAGAGTATCGGGGTTAGGCCCTTTTGACTTGGACCAGTAAGTAACCATCTAGTAGCCACCCAGAACACCCTAGCACCCAATTAGGAATTGCTTGCCAACCATCAGAATACCCAAGCAATTGCATAGCAATGAAATAACAACCACTCAGAACATCTTAGGAATTGCATAACAAAACCTATTATGTTCAGAAAATGTAAACCACTACTTGTAATTCTGTAATAGTCATATTTGTAATGACATATTTAGTAAAAAGGCACTGCGAATACATATCAGCAGTGGTGCAGTATGTTTACTGGAGAGAGAATTTCAGGAGCTCAATGGTGCCTGAAGCCCAAATAATTCTTCCTCTCTACTGATTCTTTAAACTGCAAACAAGAGGCTATAGTAGATACAGTAAGTCAATGGAGTACACTGTGTTTGCCTATTTTTTCAATTTTTCTTTTTGAAAAAATCACTTTCAGATTAACATGTTGGACCACTTTCTACCAATTTTTCTGAAGAGAATACCAAAAAAAAACAAAAAAAAACATATCAAAGATTCAAATCCATGTGATCAACTTGAATCTGCAAAGAGAAATCTTTCACCCTCACATGAAATATCCGTTCACGTCGATTGAAATGACTATATTTCACCCAAGAAGATTTGCAGAGCAATGGTAAATGTGACCGCACTTTTAGAATATTCCTTCCTATGTCAGCAGTAGACAGCAAGGTAGCTTACTAAAATGTGGAACATTTGTGTCTAAACCATTTATCCAACAGCCTATTTTATTTACTGTAGCTCTGTATTCCTCACTTTGATTCTGAATTGGTTTATTACCCTCTTTAGCCTGCTCAACAATACACAAAAACAAGTAAAATATTGCAGCAATGGGTCTATATTGCCAGACCTAGACTCCTGCCAACTCTTGTTGTATGTAAGTAGCAGGACAGACCTACAAGAGAAGCAGCCTGGCAGGAAACTGAGGATAATGGAATGTTTCCCCTTTATAGAATGTTCTTCAATACCAACCAAGTGTCTGGAACGGAAAGCTTTTTTTCCCTGAAGGCTTTTCCCTCCACAAAAACAGAAGCCAGACAAAGCATACAGAGGATATTTTGGAAAATGTACCTAACAGACTGGGTCAGTAACATGGTCAGCTGATTTGGATCCAGCTCAGGAGCAGCAGAATGAGTGCTGCCTAAAGGCACACTGTAGCTATCTGAGGAGAAGAGAGTCAGCGAGGTGAAAGCTGAAGGGATGAAATGAGGATAGTTTGAAACAACACATCAGAGTTAAGAATGAAAAAAAATAAAAATGCGGATTTGAAAACTTTTTGAACTCTTTCCATGGGTGTTCCTGACAACGTGAAGACGATTGACAATTTGTTCACCTTAGAAACAAGTCTAATCATACATTGGATCTTATAATTAGAAGCAGATCACAGTCTACTACAATTATCAGCAATAACATGAATAAGCTAGATGAACATGGTGAATGACTATATTTATAAAACAGTATATATAAGAAAATGTGAGTAGTGGAAGCTGCCACCACAATGCCAGGTGGTTGCTAGGATGTTTAAGGTTGTTGCTTAAAATGTGAAAGCTAGTGAATGCAAGTGAATGCTTTGATCATGGGATTATTTTCAACTACCTAAACCATTCCATCATTTTTTCTTGCAATTCTAAAGTTGTAATTCTGAGTTTATATCTCACAATCCTGACTTTTTTTCTCAGAATTACAAGAAACAAAGTCCAAATTGTGAGATAAAAAAGTTGCAATTACCTTTTTTATTCTGTGGCAAAAAAACATAAAAAATCAGAATTTCTGTAACGGACCCGACGAGACATGAGGCGTGAGGATCCATGTGCAAGCTTTTATTTATAAACATGGTCAGAACACAGGCAGGGTCAAACAATGGCAAACAGGTATGGTACGGGCAAGACAAGAGATAAATCCAGGTAGAAGGCAAAGGTCCAGGCAGGGGCAAACAGAGTCCAAACGGCAAGACGACAGGGCAATCCAAAAACAAAGGCAGCGATATATACACGGGAAAACAGGCAAGGCAAGACTAGACTAAACTAAACTAGGAACTATGAAAAAGACAAAACTAAGACAATAAACAGGCTCCGCAGACAGGACATGACAAGACTCCTGACGATCAGCTGTGTCGTGAGGAGACTCAGGATGATCAGTTGTGACATGACGTGACTCTGGATGATCAGCTGTGACGTGACGTAGGATGATCAGCTGTGACGTGACGTGACTCAGGATGATCAGTTGTGACATGACGTGACTCTGGATGATCAGCTGTGACGTGACGTGACTCTGGATGGATCTGAACAGGGACTGAGTGGGTGTTAAATAGAGTGTGTAATGGCTCTCAGGTGAGCATGTGATTAGTGAAGGCTGTGTGATCAGTGAATTCAGCTGTGTAAGTGCAATGGATGATGGGAACTGTAGTCCGGAGTGACATGTAACAGTCTGTGTAGTGTGAGAGTCAATGTAATGGTAGAGTGATCTCTAGTGGCAATCGGCCGGAAGACCACGACCGGATTTGTGACAATTGCGAGAATTCTGACTTTTTTCTCGCAGTTCCGAGTTTACAGATCATAATTCTGACAAAAACAAAATCAAATTGTGAGATAAAAATTCACAACTATATTTTTTAATTCTGTGGAGGATACGTTTTCTACGTTTATTTACACTTTGATTTAAATGAAAACAACGTATCCGCTGTTTGCGTTCAGTGGATACTCTCCAAAATGGCGCTAGGGTGACGCGGATGAAACGTATTGTTGAATAACGTCATTTTATTTCAAGTTATTTTTGTTTTCTTTGTGTACAAAAAGTATTCTCGTAGCTTTGTACAATTACGGTTGAACCGTTGATGTCACATGGATTATTTTACCAATCTCCTTGCTACGTTTCTGGATGTTGATCGTGTTAACATCGACATGTAATTCGAGTAATTACATTACTATCTACAGAGGGTCAGAGAGCCCTGAGAATGCATCAAAAATATCTTAATTTGTGATCCAAAGATGAACGGTGGTCTTACGGGTTTGGAACGCCATGAGGGTGAGTAATTAATGACAGAATTAAAATTTTTGGGTGAACTATCCCTTTAAAGCTTAGGGGACAGTTCTCCCAAAAATTCAAATTAAAACTGAATCACCCTAATGTCATTCCAAACCTGTATGACTTACTTTCTTCTGTGGAAGATAAAAAAGTTTTGCTTTTGTTTTACTGTTTTTGTTTATATAGTGAATGTCAGTGAGGTTCAAAACATGACTGAACCCCACTGACTTTCAGTGTATAAAAAAAAACACCATTTCAATAAATACACATACTGTACAGGTTTGGAATGACATGAGGGTTAGTAAATGATGACAGGACAGTGATCTCTTTAAGGGTTTAGAATAAGTATGAGCAACAGTAATAGCGGTGCTTGCCTTGGAAAACACCATGAATTATTTATAGATAGAACTGTTACTCACAATATTCATGACAGAGAGCACATAGCTCACAACTCCTTTGCTCCCATGGTATTCCACCATTTTAGGGTCAGCCACTACCAGAGTCTCTACCCACTTCTCAGTACTTATGGAGCGCTGTCTAATCCGTCTGCGATGTTGCCGTCTCTCCCAGCGCTCTCTTTGCCTTTCCACCTGCTTTGCCCCTTCTAAAGGATCTAAGGATGATTAAAAATGACCTTGGATCATTAATGCATTATGTGCTTTAATCATGAAAGACATCTGTTCATAAATTATTTATCCCCTTTGAATCCTACACCCCAAAGTCTTACCTCTGACCCCACAGGTCGCGTTAGCTGTGTGCTCTCCAAACAGAGGCTGCACCAGCTGGTGTTCTGATTGGACAGCATGTCGCTTATAGACTGCATGAGCCTGTGGGGCTGACTTTTCTTGTGCTGACTCCAGCGGACTAATGAAGAATTCCTCTTCTGAGAGCTTGAACAGCCCTGTCTAGAGAGAATACAAGGTCAAAGTAACATGACATAAAATTAAACAGCGTATACCCATGCAATCCACATTCACTGTCTCATTTCACTGCGGTCGTATGTTTTGCCACAGGGCACCTACTACTTATTATTCCTAAGTAATAAACAGAGTTTTACTCAGAATGGTAACAACTTTAACTTTTGCCATCAGTGAGGGTCAGTAATCAACTACACAAAGGAAAACATCTTTAAAAATTATTTTTAATAAGGTTTGTAAATACATTTTTCATGGTAAAATGTATTTCTTTTTTAAAACATAATGAATTATTAATTTATAAATACTATAATGTTTTATGGGAGCCACACAACATTACATTTTATAACATGACCTTACCTTACCTTACCTTTGTTAAAAAAAATTCTGATGTTTTAAGAACACTTACCGACCTTGTGAAAATTGTTTTCCCCTGCATGTTTTTGCATGCTAGGTGAACCATGTGACTTTTCTGACAAAAGTTTTTATTTATTTATATATATATATATATATATATATATATATAGATAGATAGATAGATAAGCAGAGAAACATTATGCCACACTGCTAATAGTTTTCTTTTCCAAAATTGCATTCTTTTTAAGAGGATTTTTTTCATCATCATCATCAGGAAAGTTGCATCACCTTGAATTTTTTTTTACTTTATGCAGCAGCAACCCTCCCACCCCTCAAGGCTGTAGAATTTAGTAGGGATGCTAAGAGCATGTCCCATCAATATCCAGCAACTACTGAATTGTTTATTGTAATCATTTTGATAAAACAATTAAAACATATTCATATATAGAGACTGCTGGCTGTCAGTGTCTTGTGGGGTTTATTTTTATTTTTTATTTAACCAGGATTGTCTCACTGAGTTTAACAATCTCTGGGCTCTGTTAGCCCTGGTCCAGATTCTCTACTCTCGACCCCCCTAAATAAAGCTGGATATAAGGCTAATAAGACTTGGCAGCACCTGAGAAGGTAAAGTAAACATGCTAGAAAACGTCTCAGGTTACGCATGTAACCATGGTTCCCTGAGAATAGGGAACGAGACTCTGCGTCCTCTAGAGGGCGCTAAGGGGACACGCTGATGGCGTTCCCTTAGCGCCCTCTGGAGGACGCAGCGTGGAGTTCCCTTTCGAAAGGGAACGTCTCAGGTTACGCATGTAACCATGGTTCCCTGAGAATAGGGAACGAGACTCTGCGTCCTCTAGAGGGCGCTAAGGGGACACGCTGATGGCGTTCCCTTAGCGCCCTCTGGAGGACGCAGCGTGGAGTTCCCTTTCGAAAGGGAACGTCTCAGGTTACGCATGTAACCATGGTTCCCTGAGAATAGGGAACGAGACTCTGCGTCCTCTAGAGGGCGCTAAGGGGACACGCTGATGGCGTTCCCTTAGCGCCCTCTGGAGGACGCAGCGTGGAGTTCCCTTTCGAAAGGGAACGTCTCAGGTTACGCATGTAACCATGGTTCCCTGAGAATAGGGAACGAGACTCTGCGTCCTCTAGAGGGCGCTAAGGGGACACGCTGATGGCGTTCCCTTAGCGCCCTCTGGAGGACGCAGCGTGGAGTTCCCTTTCGAAAGGGAACGTCTCAGGTTACGCATGTAACCATGGTTCCCTGAGAATAGGGAACGAGACTCTGCGTCCTCTAGAGGGCGCTAAGGGGACACGCTGATGGCGTTCCCTTAGCGCCCTCTGGAGGACGCAGCGTGGAGTTCCCTTTCGAAAGGGAACCCTGCTTACTACAGGGCACTGATTTATTGCATGAACAGAACAAGAACATAACATACAGTAAGTGTTTAAACTGCATGTGCACAGTTCAGCTAAATGATAAAGTTTACCATTTTTAACATAATGCTGTTAAACTAAATGCATGAAACAAACCGTTTGCTGAAATATCCACACAATGAACAACAGCAAAATAGCAGTGTGTGGTTCATTTGTTAATCAGATGCATGTGAAAGTTGTGTTTGTCACTGAACCAACTAATTTTTAAAATTAAATGATGTATGCATCTTTACGAGCATATACTGTATCATGAAATACAGATCTGAAATTCTATTAATATGTAATTATTGTCTTAGGAGCATACTGACATAAACTCCCTTTGTGAGTTTTTTGACTATTATCTGTAGTTCCAGTAAAACATATATCGAGGAGGGTTATGTCCTCACCAATGTCATAAAATCAAACCCACACCCTTGCCACCCCTCCACCATAATTTATGAATTTAATACAGAAATTACATACTTATTATACAAGAAATGAATTGATGTATTTATGTAATAAAATAAATTGACCATGAAAACAAGTGTTATGCCAATGGGCCTAAATCAGTTTGCTCTCTATTTATATAAAAAAGACAGGGTCAGCTGTTTGTGTAAGTGGCTTGATGGGTTTTAACCAAGTGAGCCATTTTTCTGGATTATATGGATCACCTGTATCAACATCCTTTGTTTGGCTTGAAACAATGTTTCTACCAAACAATCATAACCTTAACCCTTGCTCTAACCTCTAACCTTAACCTATTTACAAAGCTGTCATCATGGGAGACTTCTGGGAATGTTGCCCAGGCCCTGTTATATAGGGGTCACTAAGGACCTATAGGGGAGCCCACAGATTCATCACTGGGTGTCCACCAACAAAAAACAAACGCCACGGGATTTCTGAATTTAATCAAATTCCTTTATATCCCTAAAATATAAGGTAAATTATAAGTAGAAAAGAATGTTGTTCAGTGTCAATAAGAAATATTATTAGCATTGTTTGATCAAATATTTCTAGATTTTTATACTTCTACATGAGAACATGAAAATACAAACATGCTTATTAACTCACCAGGCCATTGCAAGTGCTCAGAGCTGCTTGACCCCACTTCAATGTACTGCTCCAGACATCTCCCAGGAAGTAGCAGAGAGAGTGGCCATGGCTATTTAATGTAGACCCTTGCAGACCACCGTACCTCAACTCTGTGAAGAATCCAGGCGCTAGCAGATGAGGGTTTAGGGTGAGGTTAAAGTGCAGGTCTTGTCCACCATACTGCAGATGGTAAAAAACCTTGGCCAGGCTCTCTTTGTTTTTTGATGTCTCTCTCCTTTGAATTCGACTCACACGGTGGGACACATGATTGGACAAAAAATGTCCCGATGAATCTACTCTGATAGGATGAACAACTTCGTAGTTAGGAAATCCATTAAGAGAACTATCTGCAAAAACACCAGGGAAATAACTTTTAGGATAAAAAGCCGCCACACACATTAAGTGGATTAGTTAAATAGTATGGTGCTATAACACAAAACAGATGAAAAAAAAAAAAAGATTTTGCATCTGCAGTTCTTACTTAACATCGAATGTCAAGTTCACACTTTAGGCCTAGTAACTACTACTTAGCTTGTAACTACTTTAGCTGTCAATTTGGTTACCTCAAATAGATTAGTAAACTCTCTGTAAAGTAATTAGTAGTTGAATGATATGGCCTTTATTGATCCAACAAGCAGCCTTCAACTTATTCTGCCTTACAAAATTGTCATTGGTAAAATAAATAAATACTAATACAACAACCTAGGGGGAAAATATTACATTTATTTTCAACGTTTTTAGTTACATTTTTTGTAGCCTTGCATGCACAAATGGCATACACAGGAAAGTGTATTGTTCAAATTGGTATTATGCTCAAGAGCTTCAAACAACTCAGATATTCACATAATGTTATCTCACATGTAAATGAATTAAAGGATTAATGTCTGCCAGACAAGACATGTGCTCATTATTCCTGCTGTGTGCAGGCTTCTGTAAATATGTAGTTATACATAGCGTTATGCTTCAACTAAGTTTAATGGTGCAAATGCTCAAATATTTAGCAGTGCATAAACTTAGTGCCTATTTACAACTAGGCTTACAGCTTGTGTAACAGCCTTACTAGAATATCATTGAGATGGATGGGTTCTTTTGGCTTAATCAAGTAAGTAAACTAAACATCAACTACCCAGCTCATGCTAGCAACTTAGCATACTAGCTAACAACCACCAGGGGTGTGAAGTAACGAATTACAAATACTCACGTTACAGTAATTAAGTAGTTTTTATCAGTAATTCTACTTTTTTTAGTAGTTTAAAAATTGTGTAGGCTACTTTTACTTTTACTTGAGTACATTTTAAGTGATGTATCGGTACTTTTACTCCAATATTTTCCTCCATTTGTGGTCGTTACATGCTTATTTTAATTTTATTTTTATCCATGAACGTGATTGGATAGTGAGATAGTAATAGGTCTCGTGACTTTCGTCAAATCAAATTGTGCATATACAATTTTAACCGCCAACTGTTTATCATGGCTGCTGGAAGTGCATTCTTCGAGCATCAATTCAGTCGCATCTTCCTCTAATGCCGAGTTCACACTGCACGATTTTCAAAGACGTCGCATCACTGTTGGTTTCACACTGAAGGACTATCTGGGGTAGCATTCAGTTGTTGCTGTGTTCACACTGCACGATGGAACGACGACAGGAGGTTACACACTGCATGACTTTACAATAGGACTCACTACTCAATACTCATGAGTACTTTTAAATAGGCTACTCTTTTACTCTTACTTAAGTAGTTTTTTGGACACGTACTTTTACTCTACTCACACTACATTTTTTGGAAGGTAATGGTACTTTTACTTGAGTATATTTTTTCAGTACTCTTTCCACCACTGACAACCACTCTGAACATCTTAGAAATCAGAAAGCAACACTCTGGTAACCACTCTGCCCTGAAACTGCACAGTGGGGGGGGTAAGTTTTACATTGATAATCACTTTTCCCCCCAGAACATGTCAAAGTCTGTGTCTTATGTATATTTTACAAAACACTAAATGATTAAGTTTTATATGATTTACTATTTATTATCATCTAAAGATATGACCAAACAACACAGACAATTTATCATAGTTTAGCCTTTAAAATTCCCCAAAGAGTTTACTAAATGCACTGATTTTTAAGAATTGTGTGACTGTGACTGCAATGAACCTTTTTACTCTTTATTTTGCGCTTGCATAAGTTTGAATAAGTGAATCATTTAAATTCCTGTGACTTTCAAAGCAATTGAACTGTACATTGAATAATTCATGAAACAAATCCATGAATTATCCTAATAACAGCAAGCTGAAGTCTGTCATTCTATTAAAAAAAAAAAAACAGACCAGAATAATACACTTACAGAAGGATTTATAGTAATTATGTGGTAGAGTAAAGACTAAAATAAATTCTCAAGTCTGCATTCTCCATATTCCAATATTTCCCTAGAGACCCTGTAGTACAAACATTTGAACAGACTTTGTTAAATGACTTCAGTCTGTTCATTGGCAGACCTGTTGCTTTGACCTACATGATTGTGAAAGCAGAGGGGCTTCCACAAGAGAGCAGTAATAGGGGTAGTGTCCGCCAAGAAACGGGATATGGAGTGGGGGATGTATATGCTATCAGGGCAAACATAAGTCAAAAGCACACAAAAGCCAAATGAAAGTGGTGTGATGCTGACATTTAGAAACAATTCACATTACAGTATCCTTTTACCTTACACTTTAATATAGTTATACACAATAGCACTAAAAATTACAATTAAAACATTTTATTACAGACAGTTCTGAAGTTTTATAGTTGTTTATTATTATCCAGTAGTTTCACATAGCAGCAATTGATATTGCAATGTGAACTGTGACCTAAAATTCTAATTTACATTCAAATAACCTAATCAAGAAAGATGAATTCATATTTCATAGTTTATAGAGTGCCAGTAGAACAATTAAACAATATGTACCATGTGCCATCACAAATAATGGCCTAAATAAACAGTTAAAAAAAAAAAAAAACTGGGAACACTGGGCCAAATATTTCACTTCCACTTTTTGCAGGTTGACAGTGTAATATAATCCCCAAAGTATGGGCACTTAAAAATTCTACAAGTGCATGAATGTCAACGCATTAGATGACAGAATATGACAAGTGTCATCTGTAGACAAATTATAGCAGGGCTTTTTCCACAACTACTTCACATTTCTGAGCCATTTTTGCAACTACCGGTTTTGCAGTGGTTTTAAGTGGATGTATGAAGTCCTCAAGGTAATAACCACAAGTTTAATTCATCACATTATATGAGCATGTTTCACTCCACTTAACGTTTTAATTCACAATAGGTTTTGTCTTAATGAACAGAATATATGCCGTTTTAAAATCAGAAGGCAAGCAAAATTCTCTTTATGAAATATTTTGCTTGAAATCTCTTTAAAATAAAAGTAAAATTTTAAAAGCAAACAAGTGCCCAAAAATACTTTTCGGGCCACTGTATACAAACACCATTGTGCGCACACGCGCACATCATCTGACAAACAAACAAAAAAATGCTAAAAATCACAGCGTGGGACTATAATGAGACACAAGCTCAACCCACTCACCTGTGTCTTGATTATATCCGCTAGCTGTTGTGCTCTCGAACATGGACAGAAGCCCAGTTGTTATCACAAAGCAGAGAGAGAAACTTGCTGGTCCCAAAACTTTAATGCTGCAGTCCAGCTGTACCATCATGTCAAACTGCACAGAAGAGAAGACAGGTCACTCTTGGTAAATCTACAGTCCATTTAAATGGTGATAGTTTGAATAGTAACTTCTGCCTCAGCCTTATGCATCGGTAGTTTGGACCCATCACACAAAAGAACGCTTCTGCATTTATTAAGCCAGAGATCTGCAGTGGTCATCAGTCCGAGACAAATTATGTAGCATGATAAAGTCTGTGATTCCGGTGCATGGGCGATTTTGGGATTTTGGGCTCCGTTAATTCAACTGGGACGGCTGCAGTTACTGATGCCGCACACAGAAGAGCAGCGAACTGTGTTTCAGTAAAACTTTGTAAAAGTTCCGCCCTCTCAGTCTTCTAGTAGGAGGACCCTGTCTTTGTGTTCAGTGTGAGACTGAACCCACTCCAGTCTTTTGTTTAGTGCTTTCCGTGTTTATACTCAAATGACTCCCATCTCATAATTTAACCGTTTGTAAATGAACACAAACACAGGACGCGTTCCTGAGTTTAATCTGTGCAATTTTAAATGTTGGTTTATGAACACAACAGTCGGTCGTCTTTGGCTGTTGCGTCGCGTCTCGCGTCTCGCGTCAAGAGCGTTTATTCCTTTGTCATTACAGCTATAAACTCGATTTACATTCTGTTCAGTTCTTTTTAGTTCCGGGTAGCTATTTTTGAATGCAAGAAGGCATGTTTTTGTATCCATGTTGATGCCATTAATAATAATGCCAATAATCATCATTTTTCTATAATGCAATTCATTATTTGATATTTGTCATAAGCCTATAGCCTATATCCTTTGACTATCATCGTTATCATAATTATCATTTGTTTATTTCCACTTGGATATGGAAAATAAATATGTTCCACAGAAGAAAGTCATACAAATTTGAAACAACATCAATGACAGAATTTTCATTTTTGGGTGAATTATCCCTTTAACACCTACTAAGTAGCCTAGTTTTCCACCTGTGCCACCATCTTCATTTTTCCATAAATTGAAAGGCTGAAAACTGAAAATCTGACAATGCTAGCTAATTCTGAAGGGAGTAACAAACTGAGCTGCTGATATATCCGAGTGTCCATCAAGTGCCCCATCTGGTGGACACAACAGTAAGGAAACATATTTCATATCAATTTACGAAGTCATTCCCATCTAGCATTGTAAATTGCAGAAGTTTAAGATGATATATGATAAGATGATACACGATAAGGCTTTATTGACTCTAAGAGTAGTATGAGCTATCAAGAGGAACTAAAAAAAGCAAACATTAACATAACATAAAATCCATGAACATAATATTGAATTATAGTTGCATTAAATGTTAAACCATTTGATATTGCATTTAAATAACTATGACTAATAAATGTAACAAAGCTACTGTAGACACTGTAGATATATGGGCTACATACAACTCTTGAAATAGCCTATAT